TCATGGGACCTGCAAATAATAATTCACTTTTTCTTTCCAATCCTTATTCCTTTTATTTCTCTCTCTTGTTTCATTACTCTAGCTAATGTTTTCAGAACAATATTGAACAGGAGTGGTGACAGTGAGCATCCTTGTCTTGTTCCTGATTTTAAAGTGATAGCTCTTCTTTTGCCCATTTAGTATGATGTTGGCTATCGGTTTGGTGTAGATGGGTTTTACCATGTTGAGTGAAAAACCATTTATTCCAATTTTCTATAGGTTTTTTTTTTTTTAAATCGTGAATGAATGTCGGACTTTGTCAAAAGCTTTTACTGCATCTATTCAGATGATCATGTGGTTTTCTTTTTATGTATTTAGTACAGGGTCTACAGGGTCTCACTATGTAGATTGGACTCACAGTGATGCTTCTGTTTTCAGGCTAAGTGCTGGGATTACAGGTGTGTGCCACCACGCCCAGTTTCAGTTGCTGTCTCAGCACACCACGGGGTGGGGGTGGGGTATGGCAGGCCAGGGATTGAACCCTGGCTGCTGCATCCTAAGCAGGCACTTTAGTCCACTGAGCTATTTGGCTGGCTCTGATTTTTTTTTTTTTTGTCTTTGGTTCTGTTGTTGGGGCTTATTACATTTATGGATTTGTGTATATTAAAACCATCCCTGCATTTCTGGGATGACTCCCACTTGGTTGTGATGCATAATCTTCTTGATGATTTGTTGCATTCTGTTTGCTAGTGTTTTATTGAGGACTTTTGCATCTATGTTCATTAGGGAGATTGGCCTGTAGTTCTCTTTTTTGGTTGAATCCTTCTCTGCTTTGGTATGAGAGTCATACTGGCCTCCAGGAATGAGTTTGAGAGAATTGCTTCCTTTTCAATTTCATTGAAGAGTTTGAGAAGAGTTGGCATTAGGTCCTCTCTAAATTTCTTGCAAAATCTGTGAATCAATCAGGACCTGGGATTTTCTTTGTTGACAGGATTTGGTTACATTTTCAATTTCACTGACTGATATTGAGTTATTCAGAATTTTTATATCTTCTTTTTTAAAATTCTGGCTGATTTTTCTTTTTTCATATTAATTTATTGAGAATGATTTTTTTTTTTTTTTTGTGGCTGGCTCAGGCTGCCTTAAGGGCGGGTCTGATAATGCAGCTGGAGGTGGGGATTGAATCACAGTATCCTGCACCTGACTACATTTGCATGAGCAGGCACTTAAACAACTGAGCTAACTGGCAGACCCCTATATCTTCCTGATTCAGCTTTGGTAGTTCATATGTGTCTAGGAATCTGTTCATTTCTTCTGTGTTTTCCATCCTGTAAAAGTAAAAATTTTGGAAATAAGTATTAATGATCTCTTGAATTTCTATAGGGTCTGTAGTGATTTCATCCTTTTAATTCCTCATTAATTTGAATTTTTTCTTTCTTTTTTTGATAAGATTGTTTAGGAGTTTACCAATATTATTTATTCTTTCAAAGAAGCAACTCTTTTACTTGTTAATTCTTTGTATTGTTTTATTTGTCTCCATTACATTTATTTCTGCTCGGGTCTTTATAATTTCCTGCCTTCTTTGGGCTTTGGACATGACTTGCTCTTCTTTTTCTAGGAGTTTGAGGTACAGCATAAGATTGTTTATTTGGGCTCATTTTGTTTTCTTAATGTGAGAATTTATTGTTATAAATTTCCTTCTTAAGACAGCTTTCATCATATCCCACAGGTTCCAGTAAGTTGTATCTACATCTTCACTTGATTTTAAATATTGTTTAATTTCTTTTTAAATTTGATTGTTCAGGAGGGTATTATTTAGTTTCAGTGTGTTTATAGAGTTTTGCTATTTCTTTTGTCATTAATTTCCAGTTCCATTTCACTATGGTCAGATATCATGAATGGGATAATTTTGATTCCTTTACATTTACTTAAGTATGTTCTATGTGCCTGCACATAATCTACTTAGGAGAACATTCCATGTGCTACTGAGAAGAATGTGTGTTCTGACACTGTTGGGTGGAATGCTCTGTAAAGATCTACTTAGTCCATTTCTTCATAAGTTTGGTTTAGTTCTGTCATTTCTCCATGTATTTTTTGCATAATTGATATATCTCTTTGCATCAATGGGGTGTTAAAGTACCCCAGTACAGTTGTGTTATTGTTAGATTTTTATGTCTGTACATTGGGTACATATATAATTGTTATAATTTATGATTGTTACTTCTTATTCTTGCAGTTTTCCCCTAACAAGTCATGCTTGGTTTGAAGTTGACATTTTTAGTAACCAGAATACCTGCCCATGCTTTTTTCTGGGTTCTTGTCTCATGGAGTACTGTTTTCCATCCTTTTACACTCAGTCTATTAATTTCTTTTTGAGTTAAATGTGTTTTTTGTATGCATCATATTGTTGGAATTTATTTCTTGATCTGCTCTTCCAGTCTGCTTCTTTTGATTGGTCAACTGAGGTTGTTTCCATTGATAGTTGCAACTGCTACATACTGGCTTATCTTTGTCATGTTGTTTGCCTATTGTAGGATCCTTACTTTTCTCTCTTGCTTAATTACTTGCTCAGCTTGGTGGTTCTCTTCTGTTGTTCTTGAAGTTGTGGTCATCTTTATCTCTTTCTACAATATCTGCCAGTGCTCTTTGTAGAGTTGGTTTGATTGTCCTGGACTTCTTCATTTGTTCTTTGTCACGGAACTATCTTATCTCTCCATCAAATTTGATAGATTTTTTTTTTTTGTTGTTGTTGGAACCAGGGATTATACTCAGGCCATTGCGTTTGCCAGGCAAGTGCTTATTGTACTGAGCTATCTCCCCAGCCCCTTGATAGACAGTTTTGCAGGGTAAATCAATCTGGATTGGAAGTTGTTTTCTTTCAGGACCTGAACTATCTCATGCCAAGGTTTTGTGAAATTGATGGTTTGTGTTGAGAAATATGTCATGATGCTGATGGGTTTTCTATTGTAGGTGATCTGTTTCTCCTAATGGCTTTTAATATTCTGTTGTTTTGCTCAGTTTCTAGTATCTTGACTATTACATGTCTGGGTGGCAATTTATTTTGATAATGATTATCTGGGTTTCTATATGCCTCACTTAACTGTATGTCAGATTCCTTTCCCACACTTTGGAACTTTTGTGCTACTACTTCTGCAATCTTTTTATGTCATTTGTGTTAATTCCATCTCTTTTGTTGATACCTATTAGTCTTACATTATTTTTCTTTGCATTATCTTTCAGCTGTTGTATGGTTATTTCCTGGTTCCTTGTTATTTTTAAGAGAACTTTCCTTTCATATTCACTAGCTGTGATGCTACATTCAAGGTCTGAAATTCTAGCTTCTGTTTCATTCAAGCGGTTTGCCAGCTTTCAGTGGCATTCTTAATGTCCTGGATATCTGTTTGAATCTGTTTCATACACTCTACTTCCTTCCTGTATTGTTCATTTGATGTTTCCATCATTTTTCTATTCCCTTCTATTTTATTTTGTCTAAGTGTTCCTTGGATGTATTGAGCAATTCTTTCATGATTCCTGTCATTTCCTTTTTTTTTTTTTCCTGAGAAGTTATTTCTGATCTGATTTCCTCCATAGCCAGATGGAGTAGTTTCTTTGCTTCAGTTTCTATCATCTCAGAAATGTGCCTTGTGTGACTTCCAAGTTTTTCTATGACTTTGTCTCCTGGACTTGTTTTGGGTGAGCTAGAGATCTGAGATTGCCTTTTGTTCCTTCCTTCATTTTTGAAACCCTTAATATTCTCCCTGACTCTGCAGCAGCGGTAGGGGTGTGGGGTGTAGGTGAGCAAGGCAGTCAGGAGAATGGGAGGGCAGGGTAGGCTCACCCAAGCTCTTGCTGTGTGGGGTTCAATGTAGCTCCCACCCTGTTAATGGGGGTCAGGCAAGCCACAACTCAAGAAGACCCAATGATGATGAGTGCAGGCCAAAGTTCTCAAGGCCTTCTTGATGTTGGACTGGCCCAGGGTAGGTGGTCCCGTAGCTACTGCCATGGAGACTTTCTGTTCTCCCTTGAGTGTTGATGAGGACTGTCACTTGATCCTTGCCAGTCCAAAAGGGCAAAGGTGATGGGTGGTTTCTCATGATTGCGCTTGCCCCCATCTTCTATCAGACTTGCTCTGTTAGTTTGATGAAATAATTGGCCATGTTTAAAGAGCCTAACTGATAGTATGGAGAACCATAGGGTGTGAGGATGGTTTTATCCCACACCAAGTAAGAAACAGGTGTTCTCAGTCCTATAACCATGCAAGGTGATTCCTCTCACTGGAAACAAAAGCAGCTTAAACAATCACCCCTTATGTACATGTCAGGGTCAGTGAATGATTTAATTAGAGATGGATAGAAAGGTGGACCAAATACTTGACCTTGAAGGGATGAATACTTGTGGATGAGAGTATAGATATGACAGAAGGCTCAGGTGAGACAGATTCCTTTAATGTCACTATTTTCCCCAGTGATCTCCCTATTCCTGTCTATCTATCTATCTATCTATCTATCTGTCTGTCTATCTATCTATCTATCTATCTATCTATCTATCTATCTACCTTTCGATCATCTATTTGTCCATGTATGTATCTATCTCCCTGTCATCTATCCATCATGTATGTCCAGAATGATAAATGGGGTGCAAGAGCATTCACACAGCCCAAGGATGGGGAAGGAAGGATTGAATCCTGTTACAGACACTGAAGCATCCTCTGCACTGATGCCGTATTAGCCATGGCAGCAAACAGGCAAAACCAGAGAAGGCAAATTAGAACAACCTGAAGGCCTTCAGGTAACTGAGCCTAGGGGAGATTTGCATGCTGTGTGAGCCAAGAGCATACCTTTCCTTGTCCACTTGCACGTCCTCCCCTCTGAGAGAGCTCTGGCTCAGGTGCAGGAGTAGAGCCTGACCACTCTGCTTGCACTTCCAGGCAAAAGCAAAAGCACAGAAGGACTGTGGGTGGGGACAGGCAGGAGCCTAGGGATAAAGGCATCTGATTTCTGGTGACTGGAGGAGGGACTGGAATGGATCTAGCCCTGACAATCTTCTTCATAGTCCTCTTTGTCTTGCTGTGTTCCCTGGGGCTCCTAGCCAATGGATTCATCGTGCTGATGCTGAGCAGGGAGAGGCTGCTGCGTGGTAGGTTGCTCCCCTCGGACACAATTCTCCTTGCCTTAGGCACCTCACGCCTCCTCCAGCAATGTCTTGGGCTGGTGTACAGCATCTCCTACTTCTTCCACCTGGTGGACTTCTCCAAAACTTTTGCCCGCCTGCTCATTTCTCTCCACTGGGAGTTCCTGAACTCATCCACCTTCTGGTTTTCTAGCTGGCTCAGTGTCCTGTTCTGCGTAAAGATTGCCAACTTCTCCCATCCTGCCTTCCTCTGGGTGAAGTGGAGGTTCCCAGCATTGGTGCCCTGGCTCCTGCTGGGCTCTGTCCTCACTTCCCTCTCAGTAACCTTGCTGTTCTTTGGGGGAAACTTCGTTGTGTATCATGAATTCATCCAGAAGAAACTTTCTGGGAACATAACTGATAAGGAATGGAACAGGAGCCTGGAAATTCACTATTTCATGCCTCTGAAACTTGTCACCATGTCGATTCCATGCTCTCTTTTCCTGGTCTCGATTTTGCTGTTGATTGGCTCTTTGAGGAAGCACAGCCTGAGAATGCAGGGCAACACCCGTGACCCGCAGGCTCGCAGCAACCAGGCTCACACCAGAGCGCTGAAGTCCCTCACCTGCTTCCTTGTTCTCTACGCCCTCTCTTTCATCTCCCTGGTCATCGATGCTACAGTCTTTATCACCGCAGAGAGCAGGTGGTACTGGCCCTGGCAGATCTCCCTCTACGTGTGCATGTCTGTCCATCCCTTCGTCCTCATCAGCAGCAACCTCAAGCTTCGCGGCACAGTAAGGCGGCTCCTGCTCTTGGGCAGGGGCTTCTGGCTCCCCTCAGGAGCCTAGTGTCTTTATCCAACACCCCGGAGGGACTGGGAGAATCAGCCGAGCCTTACTTACATGGTAAAATCCTCACAGGCAAATGAGCAGCAGCTCATACCAGGGGATTCCTTCCCTTGAAAAGACAGCAGAGAGGGAAAGCCAGGTACTCTCTGACTGTGCTTCTTGTCCCTGCAAAACTATTAAAACAAACCCCAGTCAACCCTGGACAGCCATTACTGTCCAGAAGTTCAGAATGTACTATTTTGTGGCCCTTTGATGTTTAAATTCCTTTTTTTATCTGGAAGTTCTCAGTTAAAATTCTGAGTACTATCTCATATCAGTGACTACTGGGGTGTTAAGAAAATAAAAAGTTTGTGCCTGTGACTAAGATTAGCTGCAGATGGGGGCTTCTGCACTGCTGAGAACAACAGAATGGTCACCAGGAGAGCCCCAAAGGGCAGGCTGTGGTCAGCACTGGCCAGCGCTGGGAATTGTAATTTGATTCTATGTAGATTTTTTTTCTTGCCAATCTGGGATGATGTGACTTTAATTTTATTAAGATTACTGGATGGTTTGTTTATGATAACACATTGCTTTTCTCATTAATACGTCCATTGGGTTGGCTTTGATCCTCTCCTCTCTGAAGTTTGGAGCGGCAGCCGGTCGTCTCCCATGTTTATTATTTTGTTAGAAAGAGACACATTGTGACTTTCCCAAATTGTCTTTTTCTTCCCTCAAGCAAATGTCACCAAGCCACATCTGCGTTGAATATACATGTGCTTTTTATTAAGAAAAATGAAAGTCCGAGAATTTCATTTTTATTACAAATATTGTATATTTAGAATGCACAATGAGCATGCTATTGCATTATAATCTAAGGTCACGGATCAGAAGAAAGAGAATATGAAGACCTTTGTCCTCAGAGAGTTTCAAGTTTATTCCAATATTTCAGATGTCTCCCCATTTTACACTACCCTAAGAAATGATAAAAGGGAATTTGTAAGAACCATTGTCAATTTCTTACCTTGTTTTGAAGTTCTGTAACATTCTTATTTTTTTTTAAATTTTTATTCCCTTTAAAATAAAAAGTAAAAAGAAAAAAAAAAAAGAATTTCACTTACTTTATGTCTAAAAACTACAGTATTATTTTCCCTGAGTTGATCACCCCATTACAATTTATATTTGAATATTATCTGAATGGTCATCCACTACTAGGCAAATGCTTGAGAAGTACTTCTGGAGATGCTTTAATTATAGATGGGTGTCTTTTTTTTTTTTTTAAGAGTTGGAAAATTCACATTTATTGAATAACTGGTGTGTTACAACCTGGAATTTATGAATTCCAAATAAATAAATGTTTTGTTCATTTGTTGTGTTGCTTTTTAGCACCCACAGGCTGATGCTAACCTGACAATGGATTGGCGATTCTTCCCCCAGTGGACCTTGAATCTGCTTTATAGTAGTCTTTTGTTGCTTCTGTTACTGTCCCAGGCATTGGTCTACTGTCCTCCTTTCTGTACAATCTGGGCAAACCGACTGGCGATGGCAAGAGTAGTGTCAATGAAGCGGTCCACACAGCTAGAGAGGCAGTTTTCCGTGCGAGAGTCTAGGCGATTGCCTGGCTTCTCCACACATTTATCCCAGCATAGCTCCATGAAGTGATGCACCTGTGCAGCGAACTGCGCCTTCTGTTGTTCGGCCACCACCAGGCGCTGCAGCTCCGCTTCGTTTGCCTCGCCAAGCTCCGCCATTGCCCGGAAGCTGGGTGTGTTTAAGGCAGGATTAGAAGCTTTTGTTAAAAGTATCAGTGTGCGAATTTCAGAGACTAGTGTGCACCTGGGTTCCTGGTAGAGACCTGTGCTTTCTCTGAGAGTGGAAATACTGTACTCTTTTGGTTATAGCATACACTGTAGACATGCGCTCATTAACTTTTATCTTTGGGAAATGACTGATTTTTCATGTAAACATTTGAAAGATGTAAAACACTGGCAAGCTTTAAAACTCAAAATGTGTCCAAGAGTATTTAGTATCTGCCTCTGATCTATCCCTCCTGAAGAACTCTTACCTGTTTTATGTTTGTCCTTGTAGAGATATTTTATTCTATTGCTCGTAGCTAACTAATGAACTAATCAGTTAGCTTACCTACTGGCACCCTCTGTACCACTGGCCAAACAAATAGTTTATTAACTGATGACATTGTCTTAGCGTCTTTCTACATGGTGAGTGGCACAATAGGCACACAAGTCTGCCCCTTGTTTTTTCACCTAACAATATGCGTTGGAGCTCTGTGTACAGGGGCATACATCATATTTCTTGACTTTTTTGGCGTGGGTGGATCACAGTTTCTTTAATCATGAGTGGTAATTCCCATCTTTCGCTATTAGAGCAGTGTAGTAAAGAATAATCGTCTACATATGTAATATTGCACACGTGCAAATGAACTGTGTGCTAGATTCTCTGAAACGGGACTACTGAGTTGGATGGTGTATGCATTTCCCTTTCCAGAAATTTCCTTTTTCCTCTAATATTACTTTTCAGCAATCTATTAGGTTAAAAAAAAGGATGTATTATGTAGCTGTAATTTGCATGACTCTTATTTTTTATTTTTAATGTATTTATTACAGGGTCTACAGAGTCTCACTACACAGATCGGACTTGTAGTGATCCTTCTGTTATTCAGCCTCCCAAGTGCTGGGATTACAGGCAGGCACCACCATGCCCAGTCTCAATCACCATCTCAGCACACCCCAGGGCAGGCTGGGGATTGAACCCTCTATAACTCTTATTATAAAGGTCAGGTTTATCGTTATCTTATGTATTTTAAGTTATTTATGTTTATTTTTGTGAGCAGTTACATCTTTTTTTAGATCTGATCTTTGGCTTTTTACTTATTGATTTGTAGGAGTTGTTTTTGTCTTAGAGAAATCAGTTCTTTCTTTGTAATGTGGACAACAAATTACTCCTCATTTATGAAGTTTTTAATTTAGTTTTTCTGATTCTTGTATTAATTTTAAAACATTCTTTCATTTTGAAATAATGGTAGATTCATGAGAAGCTGAAAAAAATAGTAGATCCCCAAGTAACCCACACCAGCTTCCTCCAGTGGTAGCATCTTATATGGTTGTAGGACAACAATCCCAATAATCTAGAAACTGGGGCAGGAGGGTTGCAAGGTCAAGTCTGTCCTGGGCAATTTAGTGACTTAGCGAGTGCCTTTCTCAAAATTAAAACAGAAGTTATAAAGTGCCAAGGACATAGCTGGTGGGAAGGCTTTGACTTAAATCCCAAGTACCACAGGGAAAAAAAAAAAAACCTCAGGAAACTGACACCAGAACATTACTGTTAGTGCAGCTAAAGACCTTATTGGGTTGTCATTGTTTATTTTTAAACTTATTGTCATGTGTGTGTGTGTGTGGTTCTGTGAGATCTTATCCCATGTAAAAATTTATGGAAGCACAACTGAGATATAAAATAATTCCATGACCATGAAGGATTTCCCTCTGGCTACCTCTTGGTATTTGTACTTGCTCTCATACCTTAGCCTCAGTGTGTGTATTCATTTGTTTCTTTCTTTCTTTACACTTTTGCCATGTACAAATTTTGCTGATTTTACAAAATTAATTAATGACTACTGGGACTTTGTCTTATAATTAGAAGACATTCTGTACTTTAGAGTCAAAAATTCTTTTGCGCTTTCTTTTAATACATTAAAAGTTTCATTTTATCTTTAAGTATTTTACTCTTTTAGAATTAGCCCAATATACGGGATCATGTATAATAAATTTAACTTTTCAGATGGTGAGCGTGTTGTCTTATTACAGGCTATTGGCTAAATATTTTCTCCAGTGACTTACAAAGCTAACTTTAATCACCTATCAAATTCTTCAGTATGTTGACCTATTTCTTGACTTTTTCCTATTCTATTTCATTGAGTTAGTGTTACTATCTTACTGTCTTGTTTCTGGGACAAAATACCTGAAACCCACAAGCTAAAGGAGGAAAGGTTTAGAGAGGTATCATCCATGGTCCACAGGGTCCAAGATAGGGTGGCAAGGCGCCAGAACTCGCAAGAAGAAAGCCCTCACGGCACACCAGGCAGGACGCGGTGAGACTTCCTTTTTCTTTCCTTAGTTGTCCTGTCCAGTCTAAAAGATTATCGGTGGGTGCCACCTCCACCCAGGTGGGTCCTTCCTCCTCCGTAAGTCTGCTGTCACACACCTGCAATCTAGGTATTCCCCGTGGCCCTACCTTTGAGTGCAAGAGGCCTTGGGGGGAAGCCCAGCTGTGAGCCCTCACGGTGTGACCACGTGCGAAGCCCACCACATTTTAACTAGTTTAATTGTATATGTTCAAATACCTGGTAAACTAGTCTTTCTTCACTAATCTTTTTAAAAATAAATTTCTTGGCTATTTGTTTTTACAGTAACTTTTACTGGGCCAAACAAAATTTCTTTCTCTTTCTTTGAATGTGTTTAGTACAGCGTCTACAGGGTCTCACAACACAGATCAGACTCGTAGTGATTTTCTTGTTTTCAGCCTCCCAAGAGCTGGGATTACAGGCGCGCACCACCACACCCAGTTTCAATCGCCGTCTCAGCGCACCCCAGGGGTGGAGCTGGCACCACATGCTGGGAATCGAACCCAGTTCCTGCATCTGCCTAAGCAGTTGCTTTAGTCCGCTGAGCTATCTGGCTGGCCCAGTTCTTTTTCTTTCTTTACCAATTGAGGTCAAATGTACAGTTTAACATCATTAGCCACGAATTTTATGGTGGTACATTAACCTATGTAAGAATCTCGTATTTTTTCATAGGCTCATATTTCTCTTATTGCTTCCAAAAGTATTTAAGCTTTTAAATATAGCTCTTCATTAGGGATCTAACTCAGTGGTTATAGTGTGTGCCTAGCATGTAGGGGACTCTGGATTCAATTCCCAGCATCCTCACAAAATATCTCAAGTAGATCTTCTACAGTACTTGTGTACTTCCAGGTATACTTCATTCTGTATGACTTATTTTCTTGCTATGCAAGACAGAGTAGCTACCTCAGTGTAGTTGTGAAAACACACATATAATATCTAAGATACGTAATGTATATCTACTTATGTACATATTTATGCAAATAGAACCCAGCAGAGCTTTTAAATAATAATGATAAGAGCTAAATGTTGTTTTCATTATTTTCTGTGTGTCCATCTGTATAACAAGAGTAGAGAAAGCAGAGTATGGCAAGAAGTTTTCTAGCCATCAGCAGAGACCAGTTATTTCTTTTTTTACCTCTGATTTTTTTTTTCCAGCTGTTAAAGGGAACAAACATACTATCCATGAGTCAGGTAAGAAGACACCACTACCATGAGTTACCATGAGGTAGAAATTGCTGGGAAGGGATTTTGATGCTGAGTCAGACATGTTTAAGGGCAATTTCAGGAGATAATTTACTTGAATAGTATTTAAACATCAACTGACACCAGTGAGAAAAAAAGAGGTATGAATTTTGCTTTTGTTTTTATTTCTTTTAAGAATGGGGGATAGGAGGAGATTGTAAAGGCAAAGTTGGGAGGGTCACTGGCTGTCACACAGCTGTTGTATCACTTGCTTTTTCTCTGCTGGGATCAAATACCTGATATATGCAATATAAAGGAAGAGGGGCTGTTCCTCAGACAAAGGATTACTACCGAGAATATACAAAGATCTAAAAGACATCAGACCTCCCAAATTTAAAGGCCCTGTCTAAAAATGGACATTTGAGCTGAATACACTTTTCAGATAAAGAAATACAAGCAGCACATGAATGTATTAAAAAATGCTCAACGTCGCTGGTCATTCAAAAGCTGCAGGTTAAAACAACACCGAGATTCCGTCTCATCCCAGAAAGAATGGAGTAGAGACTGAACAACACTATGGAAATCAGCATGGAGATTCCTAAAAAAGCTAGGATTGCAGGTCCCATTTGTCTCAGTTATTCTGCTTCCTGGTGTCTTCCCAGAATTAAAAACATCATACCACAGTGATATATGTGCACCCATGTTTTTAAAAAAAGGCTTCAGATTTGTTAGTAAATTTTTCCCCTCAGGTAATCTGAAGAGCAAATAGATATTATTCTTGAATATTTGTATGCATGTATTTTTTGCATGTATTATCACAATAAATAGAAAATTAATGAAGTTTATCCATTCTTAATATAAACTCATCCACTCAAAAATCATTTGTAGGGGCCGGGGAGATGGCTCATTGGAATAAGTGTTTCCCTGGCAAGCGCAAGGGTCTGAGTTCAATCCCCGGTTCCGAAAAAAAAAAAAAAAAATCATTTGTAACAATTCTAATCACATTCCTCCTTCACTAGATTGTAGAGCTGTCCGGGGTCAGGGGCCTGTTTTGGCCACCACTGGTTTCCCTCATGTCCACTGCTCAGCACGTGAAGGTCTCCAAAAAGCCCTCTCCTATATCCCAACCACAGGCTCAAGCTCACCGGCCCTTCATGCAATGAGTAGATCCAAGTGGCTCACGAAACCCATGATGGTGTGCTGCTGGAAGGGATATGGTGCCCAGCTGCGAGGGCAACAGGCTTTTTGTAGCTGGAGCTCAGTTTCTGGCAGCAGGGATAGGGTGACAAGTGAGCCCCTCCTCCTGCTTCTCTTAAGGTCATGAGCATCCTAAGGACAGGGGAGAGAGTTTGGGGGTCTAAATATCTGCCTGAAAAGTGCAAGGACCTGGGTTTCATATCCGGTACCACATGCTGTGCTGGCCCTGCCCTCCGTC